GTTTCAGTGGGGCTGGTGTTTTCTCAGAAGGTCTGGTGTGTTCTGGGGCTCCTTTAAAAACACAGCTCTGATCCTTGCAGTTTTTAGGAAGCTGCTGCTTTGCTTTGGAGCACGTGTTGCACGTACTCATTGGAACATCTGCATTGGCAGCTGCCTCTGTTTATAAAGACAGGCAGCCGACTCCAGCCAGAGTGCACAAAGCGGTACAAACATAGAAACAGGAAAAAAAATATGCTTGCTGGGTTGGCATAGCTGCAGAATGCAAACAGAGCTGTCCAACAGGCACAGAGTACAGCAGTATGAACAATGATGCATTCATGATTTCTAGTGTGCAAAACCCCTTTCATTTTAGAATGGAGAGATTTAACTTCATCAAAATGAGAAACTTGCAATTTTTAAAATTCTAGATTGAGTCACAGATCTCAGGCTGAGGTTTGAAGGTGAGGGGCTGAACACCTTTGCTGTGGCTCCTGGCTTGAAGTGTTGAGGCTGCTAAAGATTTATCGGGGGCTTTGTCTGGGCCTGCAAAGCGCTAAAGAAATCTAAAATGAAAGTCTCTTTTCCTTTTTTTTTTCCCTTTTTTTTTTTAGTTTAGTGAAACTGGCAGCTTTGCAAAAGGAAGTTTCCTGAAATCACCATCTTAGGGAGAACTAGTATTTCCTTGGATTGTTGCCTGTAGTACATCGTTTGAGCATGAGGACTGTTCTGCTTGCCTGGTAATTATGAGGGAATTCCTGCTTTGGGGAGAGGGAATGGAAACAAAAGTGTATTGAACACACTCAAGAATATTCTCAGGGAACAAACAAGTAGTAATGGTAGTTCTGTGGGAGGATGCTATTATGAAGCATGGAGGATATTAGTTAGCTACAGTGTGGCCCTTCTAACGTGCTTGGTTTTTTTCTCCTCCAAGATCGTACCTTCTCGTTTTTATTTTGAAAACCTGAATTCTGTATCTGTGATTTCTGTTAATTTAAAGAGGTGGTTTACTGACAGAAAACAGCAGCTGTGGGCCTCAGAATTTTAGACAGGCAATTTTTTTATTGAAACTGAACTCTGCAATGAGGGAGGCTTCTGTATTATCCCAGTGCTTTTATGATGCCCTGTATGTTTCCAGCTGTGTATTCCGTAGCCCCAGTCCAGCTGAGCGATACCTATGGCACTGAGGCATTGCGTTTCTTTGTTACCTCAGTGGACGTGCCACACCATCGCTCAGCACCCATCCTTCGCTTTTTATGCCCCTGCTGAACTACCCAGTACCGCTCCTTTCTCTAACATCTTACCTTCCTGTGGTAACACGTGCTCCGTGGGCCAAGCTCAGATGTGGCCGAGGACTCAATGCCTCTTTCAGTGATGGCTTCAGTAGTACACCGCAACATTGCTTTCTACTTAATGTCTTACAGAACAGTACGTAACATTTATACCGCCTCTGTCATTCTGCGAGTTCTTTGCAGACAAGTAAATATTATTGTTCACACCTTACAAGAGAAAATAAGTAATCTCTTAATGTTGCTTTCAGTAATGGAAGCAAAGTTGGGTTTAATTGTACAGAGTGCCTAAGAAAATGGCACTGTCGCTTCTAGGTATTTGCTTCAGTAGAAAGAATGTGCTGCTCAAGGCCTCACGTAAGGTGCGTGTCAGTGGTAGCTCCTCATCTGGTCTGCAGGCTCAAAAGGGTTTCCCTGCATCTAAGCCTTACGTTCACCGCAGTATAAAAATGACCCTAAACCCAACTTAAAAAAAAAAAGTGTGATTTTATAAGACAGGTTTATTTTGCCTGTTCTCAAAGTTAGGCAGCATAAACCAGAAGAAGATGCATGGATAAGTCATCAGGGCTAGAGCAAGAAAATTCAGCACACGGACAAAGAGATAAATGTAAGGCTAAAAGACGTATATATGGCCAGAGAGCAACAGTTAGTGTAGGAAACAAGACTGCAGCAGATTTTGTGTTCACCAAGGAAATATGAGAGGTGACAGGTGGAAAGAAGGTATTTAATAAGGGCTTCCAGGGCTGTGCATAATCCATTTCTGGTTTGCTTTTTTCACGCTTAATGACTGTGTCAACCAGATGCAGCCCAGCAGTAACTGAAGCTGGCCAGAAAGTGAGCCCTCTCCTCCTACGCAGCCTCACGTTTGCTTAATGCATGTTTCCTCCTCTGCGGACCCATCGCCCAGCGTCCCACGGCTGTGGCTGCACAGCCCCCCGGCAGCCAGGCTTGCTGGACCCCGCACCCCTGGTAAAGTTACTGCGGCTCCGGGATCAAAGCCCACGACTTTGCGTCCCCGCAAGAGGCGGCCGTTCCCTAGCTTTGCCCAAGCCAAGGGCCCAGAGCTTCCTCCTACCTCCCCCACACGGGCGCC